ATTTTCTGTGATGTCACCTTGCCTTGTAGCCAGCCAATTGTAGATTGAAACCTGTACAAACTGTGAGTTAAATAAACCTTTCCTCCTTAATTTTGGGTGTTTGGTATTTTGTCTCACCAGTGAGAAAAGTAACGATGACAACTTTCTTTAATGTCTTTCTGCAGGCAGAAGCATAGGAAGAAATATTTTTATTCCTTCTTAAAAAGGAATTTGTTACTTCCAGGAAGATGGAGCAGACATAAGGTCCCCTATTCATTGCACGAGGTACAACTAAAAACTCTGGATGTCATCTGTATCAAACACTAGACAACTGACTGTAAAGAGAAAATGGTACCTCAGGACCTAAAGAACAACATAGCATTGAGTTCTTACATTTCCTTTTTGCTTCATACATGTCAGACTTGGAACTGAAGACCCAGCAACTCTGAAGTGCCAGCAGGAACAGAGAATAAGCCTCCGTGGAGGCTGGTGCGGTGCCCTCCAGCCACAGATCAGGGACAAGGTGACCTTGCCAGACATAGAGCATCCCATTCTTCCCATGATGCAAGGTCACATAGGAGTTCAAATAACCACATTCACCTAGCTCACTGAGGTGTCCCAACCCCTGCCATGGTGTTGTCACAGAGGTCTGACTAGGGAACCAGGACTTTCATCTCCACTAGGCTATAACCCAATGCTTGTGGCCACCAGCATGTTGTCAATGAGACTACCTTGGACTTCCATCCAGCCAGGAGAAGGAGGGGCCCTTCCCTTCATGGGGTATCAGAGGAGGCCTGGTGAAAAGTCATGCCCTTCTCTACCACCCACTGGTAACAAGATCACCCCACTTTACTGTTAGTAGATATCACATAGAGATTAGCAAGAAGGGACACCTGGCCCTCTCAGCCCTGGGAGTATCAAAGGTGGCTGTGAAAAGCCAGAACTCAAGCTGTATTAAAGAGCCCTTGTGTGGATGAATGGAGTCCACATGCAAAAATAGACTTGTAACCAACCTTGGCAGCAATAAGGAGGTACTTCCCACTTTTTCTGGGGAGGAATATTAGTGGAAACCAGCCGACACAGAAGATTCAAACCAAAATCAGAATCTTCTCACACCTTAAGGGGCCAGGCTATAATAGAAAATCTCTCATCACAAGGACCAAAACTATTAAATGAATTTAAACACAATAAGTTGATTGCCAACACTGAAATGACAGTAATGTCAGAATTGTCTGACAAAGATTTTAAATCAGCCATCAAAATGTGCTTCTATGAGAAATTATGAACACACCTGAGACAAATGAAAAAATAGAAAGACTTAGGTCAAAAAAAAATTTATAGAGCAAACAAGAGGAAATTTTAGGACTGAAAAATATAACAAAATAAAACATTACCAATCACAATGGAGGGGACAGAGGAAAGAATCAGATTATATTGCACTTGGAGGACATGGGTAACATGAATATAAAAATACAGAATTATCCAATCCAAAAAAGTAGGAAATAGACCCACCTAAAATGAACATTGAGATCTGTATGACAATAATAAAAACATCAAACATTTATATCAACAGTCCTCAAAGGGAGAAGGGAAAACATAGGCTGAAAAAGTTCTCAATATTTCTTTGTACAAGAGAAAACTTCTCAAATTTGGAAAAAAACCTAACAGCTTCAAGAAGCTGAGCAAATGCCAAATAGGATAAACTGGGAGGAGAGGCCCATATTAAGTCACACTGTAATCAAACTTATGAAAATTAAAGAAAAAGAAGGTATTTTTAAAACGGGGAAAGTGGACGCCTTGCCTATAAGGGTGAAAACAACAAAAAGAGTAGATTTTCGATCAGCAGTAGAGGCCAAAAGGAAATATCTCAATTTTTTCAATGTTGAAAAGAAACTGAAAAGAAAAAACCATAAACTCAGAATCCACAATCCAGCAAAAGTATATTTCAGCCATGCAAAGGGAATAAGGGCATCCACAGAATGTGGAAAAGGAAGATAATTTGCTGCCAGTAGACCTACCTTGAAAGAGTAAGTAAAGGAGATTCTCCAAGAAGACTGTAAATAATGAAATAAGGAACAATACCTGGAAAGAAAGAGAATATAGAATGCAAGAAAGCAGGTAAATATAACAGACCACTGGCAGCTTTCTAATCAAGAAAAAATAAAATGTGTATGTGAGGGTCTAGAATTGCACTCTTGGGCATTTATGGAAATGGAAAGTTGGTTCACATGATAAACTCATGTCCAAATGCTTATAGTGCTATATTTGTCATGGCCAAAATTTAGAAACAACCCAAGTATCCTTTGATTGGCGAATGGTTAAATAAACAGTTAGAAATCCTACTTAGCTGTTTGGGTCTAGATGTCCCCCCAAAGGCTCCTGTGGTCATAAGTGGCTGAATTTACAGCATATGATGCTAGGATTAAGGGCGTGTGTTATTAAACTACTACAAGTGAGTGATTGGTTTGACCACCCTAATTCCAGTAGTCAAATAAGATAAAAGGGGCAGAAAGACAATATTAAGGCTCCTTGTTGCTTTTGCTACCATGTGGGCACCATTAACTGTTTCTCCTCTTGAAGGTCTGTCTGCCATGCTACCCTGCCTTGGAGTCAGCTGATTATGGACTGAAACCTCTATGAACTGTAAGCCAAATAAATCTTTCTCCCTTTAACTTTGGGTGTGGAGTATTTTGCCTCAGCAATGAGAGAAAAGTAACTAATGCGGCTGTAAAAAGGAATGAACTATATATAGATATACGCAACATTCTGGATACGTCTCTAGAGAATTATACTCAATGAAAGCAGTTTAAAAAAAAGGCAATTCCAAAACATTGCATGTGGCATGATTTCATTTATATAACATGCTTGAAGTCACAAAATTGTGGATTAATTACTAGGAATCAGGGTCTAAGGAAAAGGAAAGGATGAGAGTGTATCTTGCTTTAACAGGGTGACTTCAGCTATGTCCTTGTGGAGAAGGATACATTCTGTGTCTTAACTGAACACTGTCAACATCCTTCCACTGTATTAGTTTTATAAAATGTAACCCTCAGGAGAAATGGTAATGCACGCTCAGGGTCATTTGTATTATTTCTTAAAATTGTGTGTGAATCTCAAGCTATTTCAAAAATTAAAAGTCTAATTAAAAACTTAAGAAGTATCTGCAGAAATCCAGAAAGCTTGCACATCTCCTGTGAGGAGCAAGTCACTCAGGTGACAGCACTGAAGCAAGTGTTTCTGACCTAAGAGTTCCTACCAGCTGTCTGAGAGGGAGCTCACTTATCAGTGCTGATCATTAGCCAGGGCAATTAGACAAGAGAAAGAAATAAAAAGAATAAAGATAGGAAATGAAGAAGTCAAATTGTCATTATTTGCAGGGGACATGATACTCTATATAGAAGACCCCAAGAACTCCACCAAAAGTCTTCTAGGCTTAATAACCACGTTCAGTAAAGTAGCTGGATACAAGGTCAACACACAAAAATCAATAGCTTTCCTCTACACCAGTGACAGACTCACTGAGAGAGAAATAGGGCAAACAATTCCTTTCACAATAGCATCCAAAAAACTGAAATACCTAGGAATCAGGGCTGATCTCCTCTACCCCACAGGAGAACAAACAGAACAGTTTGATTCACTCTGAATTCAGAAAACAAATTCTTTGGCAAATCAAATTCTACAAACTGCAAGTCTATCACAAACAGAAATTTTGGCAAATCAACGTTTTCAACAGTAGCTGCCATCAAAATAAGTCAACATCAATTGGATTTCAAAAGTGATGACTTGGTTGCCAGGCACAGGGCCTCTCACTTTTGACCTCATCTTTAAGCCCAGCATTTAGCAACTTTCTTGTGTACTTTTTCTTTACTCCATTCTTAAAATCCTCCTTTTCCTCTTGTCCCAACTAAGATTTGTATCAGTTATTATACATGAACTGGGAATGAATTGTTCTGTGAGAAACTGAAAGTTAAAAGATATTTCCTACTAAACGCAGTCATTTTTCTTTATTGAAGATATCCATTTCTAATGCAATGAAAACAACTGTATGCAAATTGCTTTGAGTACAACTAGGTAGATTACAGCTTTTTTTTTTTCAGAATAGAGGTCTATGATTTCAAAAAGTGAAGAACCACTTTGAAGAGCATATTTTATATAACCTAATGTTATTTACTAAAAAAGGATGACAAAGTCAATGAGGACCTCAGAAAACAGAGAAGTAATGCAACAGGTTGGTTTTGAAGGAATTCATGCCCAGAGCTCTCACTGTTCTGCCTCCCATCATGGTCTCTCTACTCCAATCTCTGGGACTGTGACATTAGCCACTATTGTATTTGAAAATGATTCAGCTATAGCAACCCCAAACGGGAAAGCTTTAACCCTGGGCAATAGTTTCTCTTCCTTGAGAGGGCAAGATGAGGACCCTGTTTTCCTCAACTGTAAAATGAGTGTGTGAATGAATTATTACCAAGGTCTCCAAGTGCTAATGCTCTGTGATTATCTGTTTCCACACACAGAAACAAATGTCCTCTTGCTCATTAAGCAATATTGTATCTTGGCTCTGACCATGAAAGAGGCCAACTCTGCTGTGGATTAGGAGTGAACCAGTCACACTGGACCCCATTTCCTAAGGGCCTGGACCTTAAGGCATGAAAAGATGGTCCTGGCATAGAAAAATGGAAAGCCCCCTGCCTTGTGTCAGCAGTGCCACCTATGCCACCACCTGGTGAGAACACAAGTATCACACTCTCACTATTTACCAGGTCTCCTTCCAGGAAAAGCCCTCTGAGACTGCACACCTCTGCTGCATCCCCATGGGTATATCCTATCTCTTCCAGAGGCTGTGCCCAGCCTGGACCAACTTGCATCCCAACTCTTTCTATAGAGCTACAGGGAAGCTTGGAAAGATATCTTCTCTTGGCAGGAATGAAGGGAGGTTGCAGCAAGAAATATAAGCATTCCTGAAGAAAGAACGTTCAGCTCACATCCCTGCTGTGACAAAGAGCATCGTTTAAAGCACATACCAGCTCTCGATTCAGAGCATCTCCAGGTGAGGGCATCCCGCAACTGGGATCTGCCCCCATAGAGGAGGACTTGGGCTATTCTCTGAAGGAAAGAAGGAAAGGAAAGAGCCTAGCTGGAACCTGTCCAGATTCCAAGGGTTCAACCCAGCACAACTGCAGCCAGCTGAGATTTGGTCATGGGGCCTGGGGGCAGTTATTTATCTTCTGGCAGCTGGATGTTCAGGGATGAGAAATGTTATGGTGGAGACTGTGAGGCCCGGTGAGCCTGCTCATTGGTCAAACAGGTCACGATTTCCCACCCCCCAGGTCTGTGGGGTCAATCACAGTTGTGGGAATTCCTGAACCCCAGCACCCTCAGCCTCATTGTGGACTTCTCCTTCCTGCTGAAACAGAGGAGGAGAGTGGAGGCCCTCCTGGAGAGGTTCAGAGGCAGTGGCAGCTCTATGGGAGTTAGTTTTCAACCTGCCACCAAGGCAGCCCCTTCTTTCTCCTCCTTGTGTCCAGACTTTTCACAGGGGTCCAGATGGCTACATGATGAGAGATGGCACATTCAGAAGCTGGCTCTGAGTACCCTCTCCTGACAAGGGCCTTTTACAAGTTTTCACCAAAGCATCTCCAACTCCAAGACCCATCACCCTGTTCAGGGCAAGACAAGGCTTCCAGATGGAGTCCAGAGTCTCTCATGAGAGGCATGAGCTGCTTGTGCTGTTGGATGTGCAGTCTGTATTGGCACAAAGGGACCTCATCTTGTCCTCCTGGGATCACACAGACACCCATGGTATTCCAGCAGCAACACTTCCCAGGCTGCAGAACACTTGCCCTTGTATTACCTAAATTAATCTTTCTGGTGGCTCTGGACATTTTACAGAGGCAAAAAGTGAGAATGCCAGGTGCTGGCCCCAGCCACGAAGTTGCTCAGCCCTGGATCAGGATCTGTTGCTACAGTCTCCCTTATTCCCAACCTCTGCCCATGCTCCTGTCCCTCCCAGATTCTGCTAATGGTCCTTCCTGGATGATCCGCTCAGGGAATCCAGGGATACCCTCTTCTCACAAGGTGCCCAGGTCTTCCAGGCTCTTTGGAGAGCACAGCCCAGCCCATCAGAGGGACAGAGTAAAAGTGCTGCGGGGCAGGGACACAGAGGCCGTTCCTTCTCTTCAAAACTGCCCCTCAAGAGGATCAGAGGCACATCACTCTAGTAGCAAGCATATTTAATTTCTAAGAAGTAGATAATTTCTAAGTAGCAGATATGTTTTAATTTCTAAGAAGGAAAAGAAACCAAAATTGTGATTTAACCACAAGTCTAATATAAACTGAATAACAATAAACCAAGAAAGGAAAAGAGACTAAGAAATTAAGATCTGTAAATGTGTAATGATATATAACGGGCTGCTCCTTTAATCAATAGGGAACAGAAAAGAACTTTGCAGAAGCTGACTTTGCAGAAGCTGATGGAGGCCGCATCTCTATTGGGCCTGCTTCTTATCATAAACTCCAGCACATGAAGTCAGCTTGTAGAGCTCATTCAGCTCTTTATTTTCTAGGACTCTTATTGGTTTCCCTTGTCGTTACTATTATTTTGAGAAACTGATACATACTCATACAAAAGTATAAAGACAGTTTTTGAAGACAGTCATGCTGTAACCCAGGGGTAAGCACTGTTAAATTCATCTGCATTTTCTTCTAGTCTATGCACATATATTTACATAATTGAGATTATACTGCATGCGCAATTTTATAGCTTGACTTTTTTCACTTAATATAATGTTGTAAAAATTTCTACAAGTCGTTGACAATTTTAGAGAAGCATTTTAATAGCTATGTAATTATCTATTATATGATATAGCACAACTTAATTATTCCCTTATTGTTGGACATACAATTTTTGCATTTTTTCACTATTAAAGATATATTGTCATAAGCATTATTACAAGAAGTCTTCGATGGCTGGTATGACTATTTTCTTAAAATAGATAGTAAGAAAAGGAATTTTTGAATCGAATTATGAAAATCGAGGAGACAGGAGTCAATTAATAATCCATCAGTAGCTGGAACATGCTTACTTCATTTTTCCCTAATGGCCAATGGCTATTACCATTATTTAAAATTTTTCTAATTTAATAAGTAGTAAGTATCTTACTTTATGATAAATTCTCTCCTTAATTATCAGCAAATTTGAATAATTTTATGTTAATTTGTTAATAATGTTTCTGTAAATAATATATTCATTTCCTTTCCTTTTCTGTTAAGGAAAACAAAATACTTTTAATTTGTTGTTTTCTCTTAAGTTTTTTTTTTCTTCTGAAATTAAGCTATGTTTATGTCAAATTATGCCTTTCCTTGGCACATTTATGTAAGTCCTATTTCTTAACCCCAAGCCCTGAAATCACAAGTCATTTAATATGCTTTTAAAATAATGTGTCAAATACCCATTTAGTCATTTCCAGAAGACAACAAATTTCCTGTGATTTATTTTATTGTTTATATTTGTCAAGCATACAACAATCGGGCAAAACATTTACATATCACGTAATAATGTCCTAAATGTCCTTTTGTTGTTCTTATTTTTTTGTTCCTTTATTCTCTGTTTTTGTACTTAGTTTCACAAGGTTTTCTTTTTGAGGTAATATCCAGAAAGGGTGGACCACATGAGCACCTCCCCAAAGTAAAAAAAAAAAAAATTATTGGAAGCTTACACTGACTAATGCATCCCTTCCTAATTGATTTGTAGTTCCCTGATTAAGGCCCTGGATGCAGTTGAGTTATTCCTAGACTCTCTTTTCTGCTTCACTGATCTCTCTATTCTTTCAATAGTATTATACTATTCTAGTTATTATAGGATTATTACATTTTAAGACTTGTTTCATAGCTGTCTCAGCTGTTTCAATGTGTTCATTATTCAAATACATTTTCTCCAAATATCCAAGCAGAACCAATCATCTTGTTGGCCTCTAAGAATGAATTGAGCAGCATCTCGCCCTCAACCAAGACTGCTTTTTTACAATAGATTTGAAACCATATGGGAGTGGAATGCTAGTAAGAAATGGACATTCAAGGTCATCTAGTCCATCTCAGATTATACCCAACACAGAGATTGCAGCTATTGCTGACCATCCCACTGCCCTGTTTGCTGAGCATACCCCATCCACTCTGTCTGAGCAACTCTCATGTTATCAGAGGCCTTTTCTACTCCAGGTTCCTCCAACCTGTCATGGTCTTGATTTTCAGAACCACAAGGAGTGAGTGGACACCACCTCCATGAGGATACGTCTCACATTCTATAGATCCAAGTCGAAAACCACAGTTTTCAGAGTAAGTCCCATCTATGGTAGATGCAAGTACCATGCATGCTGGACAGTTCCTTTGATCCATGTATGCCTTAGGAAATGGCCTAAAGGGCAAGAATTGTGATTACAGCATCTCTCTTAACCGAGACAGTGGGTCAGTGGATCCAGATAAACCAACTGGGCTGGGAAAATGTTGTTTCTGATATCAGAAAGTAACCAGAGTATATATAATGTTCACTAAAAAATAAGATTGACAGGTTAAAGGAAGTAGCATTGATTTGGGAAATTCAGAATTGCAACTTGGGAGCACGGAATCAAGACAGCCTTGGATAGTGTCCCATAAGGCAAATAGAAACATGGGCTTTTATAAAGGATTTTTGAAGGCTATTTACTTGTTGGTCAGAAATCCTAAATTGCAAACACATTATGATTGGCTAATCAATTAGAACATTTGCAGCTAAGAGCTGCTGAAGGCTGAGTTGATGGTTAATCGTGGGTGTCATCTTGACTGGACCAAGAGATGCCTAAAAATTGATAAAATGCACCCCTAAGTGTGTCTGTAAGGGTGTTTCCAGAAATGATTGTCTGGTAAGGTGGGTGAATTGGGTGGGGAAAATCTTCCCTGCAAATGGGTGACACCATTCCATCCATTGAAGGCCTAAATAGAGTAAAATGTGATGGAAGAAGGAATCTCCTAAATGCGCTAGCTTGACATTTCTTGATCAGAAATGGACGTCAGACTCTAGAATCTTCAGCCTTTGAGCATCTCACCAGTGACTCTCCAGGAAGCTTCTAGCCTTCAGTCTTGGACTAGGGCTGCAACACTGGTCTCTCTTGTGGGTTTTCCAGCTGCTTAGACTGAGCAACTATTGCTTTTTCTGCCTCTCCAGGCTGCAGGCAGCCACGGTGGGACTATGCAGCCTCTGTGAGTCAATCAAATAAATTGCAAACACCTCATAATTTCTCTCTCTTACATACATACTGTGATAACCCTGACTAATACATCGAGTTGTTCAACCACATATACTGAGACACATGTGTTTTGAGCTTTAGCAGTCTGAGTGCATTTCTCTTCCAAGCTCCCTACTCTATTTTAGAAAGCCTTGGCCTTAATCACTTCATTTTCTTTCATAATAGGCAGCAAAGAACCCCTAAGAACCTTTCAAGTGTTGTGTTTTATCCAGAAATTTGGGACACTCTTTTATGAAATACACAGTGGATCTGTGTACTGTCTTCTAGTAATCCTCACATGATAAAAATGAATGACTGATGAAAATACAGAAAAATACTCATTCATTTTTAAAAAGTACGAATAAAGATATTATATTCCCTGTACATCTTTAGTTCACAAAAAAGAGAATTCAGGGTTGACCAATGATAATTCAATACAACAAGTATTGTTGAGAATTTTAAATGCAAATAATCTTAAGAAAAAACAGAAATAAATAAGATCAATTCTCTTCAAATGTAAACAAAAATGATGGCTGAGTTTCGTGAGGCAGGGATCATGGCCCCTTCAGCTTGTCATCCCCAGTTCCTACACATGAGTTTGGTATGTGACTCAGGTCCTTGGTGTTTCCAAATGATGCTCCTGCCAGTGGTCTCCTTTGGGTCTCATGCAGTGAGGTGGCGGGTGCCTTGTCACGCCACAAAGGTCACAGTGATGAGGAAGTCAGCTACATCTCCATAAGCCATATCCCAAGACTCTGCCAGCTTCTACTTTTATTCACAACCCCTAGAAACACTTCTAG